TTTAGTTAAAATGTGAAAATATTTAGTTAATATTTTAAAAACATTTATTAGCTGAAGGCTCTTTATTGGTTTGTTGGGACTTTTATCTTGAAAAGCGCATTATAAATGAAATGTAATAAATTTACTGCCAACTAAATAATAATAATATAATTATGATGATAATAATAATAATAGGTTGAGATTATTGTTTTTTCTGCGCTGTAAGAAATGAAATTGTAGATTGAATCATTGAATATTAAAACCAACTAGATTTATGTTTTTAAATGAGTAATAAATATTTGAAGGTTTTTCTCAGCGGCTCAAAGAGAATCCAGAATGTCCTTGAAGGAAATCCTTTTAGAACTGGACTTCATGTCTTCAGGTAGTCTCATGCAGGACTCGTTTACGAGACACGCCTCACTGAAACAACAACAAAGTGCAACTCAATAAAAGTGGTGTCTTGATGATGACAGAAGAAGAAGAAGAAGAAGACATTTGTCTCTGTCTCTGTGAGTCCAGCTGGACTCTGCACATGTTCAAGCACTTCCAGATTTCACTTCATTAAAACCTCCACAAGCTGCTCCTCCTCCGCTCGCTGCTCTTTGGATCTACAACAAGAACTGACGTTTATTTTCCAGCGTTTAAACGTTTGGACTCTGCAGAGGGTTCGATGATTTCAGGAGCGCCTCGTGAACCAACGGCTCCACCCGTTCGCTCCGGTGTCATCAAGAATGATGAGGATTTCTCTCCGGACGGAACCGGCTGAGCTTATTACCGAGCAGAACCACGAGCTGCAGGACCGCAGGACCCCCAGGACCGCAGGACCCCAGGACCGCAGGACCCCCAGGACCCCCAGGACTTCCTCCAGGACCCCCAGGACCGCAGGACCCCAGGACCCCAGGACCCCCAGGACCGCAGGACCCCCAGGACCGCAGGACCCCAGGACCGCAGGACCCCCAGGACCCCCAGGACTTCCTCCAGGACCCCCAGGACCGCAGGACCCCAGGACCCCAGGACCCCCAGGACCGCAGGACCCCCAGGACCGCAGGACCCCAGGACCGCAGGACCCCCAGGACCCCCAGGACTTCCTCC